ATCTTCAATACTTTATGAGAATTGTTTATTATAAAATTTTTTTTAGATTAGGCTGGGGAATTTTATTAGCTAGTATTATATACCAAAGTTAGGGGTGGGGGAAAACCTTCAGAGCTCAATTGTGATGACGTAAAGGCTGAGTAGGCTTTTGTTTGCTGATAACAATTTAATAGCATTTATCTTGTACTTGGCTCAGTGGCCCGGACTGTCACATGGCCACCCCTAAATATAAAAAGCCAGAGAAATAGAGGGTTGCTTTTTCAAAAACCGAGGACTCAATTACCCGAACAAATTTGAAATAAGGAGGAGACACAGGAGGGTGGATATCATGTAGGCAACTCTCGGGGTCAGTCTGAGACATTGTCATAAAAGGTATAGACAGATAGGAGTGCTGAAGGGAGTCCGAAGAAGGAGACTTTCTAACTTTTACCAGAGGGAAGTTCCGTTTGACCTGGACTTGGATGGAGTGATAGGATTCGAATGTGGGCAGAGGAGAGAGAGGCAGAAGGATGCTACCAAAAGGGGAGTGGCCCAAGTAGACGTGCAGAGGGAGGAATATATGGAGTGCGTGTGAGCAGAGTACCTTTCTCTCTGTCGCGTGCAAATAATTGCAGTTGTTTTGTGGTGGACATAGGGCCAGTGTGGGCAAAATCACGGAAAGCTTCGAATGCAAGATAAGGGAATTTGGAATTTATCCTGTCATGGAAATGTCTTATCACTCAAAGATCTCTTAGAGCTAGCCCATCTTCTCCATCCACTGTGCCCTCTGAGACCATGTCATCTTCTGAACTCTTGCGTCCTCCTCGGTGCAGACTCAGAAGGACCCGTGTAATGCCTAAACCGCTCCCCTTGGTTTCATGCCTTCCCGTGATCCCTCTGACTTTCCACTGATGTGGAAGAGAGCCCGAGCTCCTCAGTCTGGCACTTGAGGCCCTTTAAAGGAGGAAGGGGCCGAGTGAAGACCATTAGGAGAGAGAAGGAAGCAGACATGGATTCGGGGGTCCACGGAGAGTCATGGGGATGCTCCTCTGTTCTTGAAGCTCCTACTTCAGAAGATAACAAACTTTAAGGGCGACGGAAGAGACAGTAGCCCCCAGTTAGCAGCGAGTTGATTTCTGCCCCCACCCCGTGTCTCTTACTGCCACCCCTTGTCCTTACTCATTCCAGATCCTTCCCTCTAGGACGTACAGATCTGAGGTCAGAGTCGGCAGCAGCATAGGCCCTGGTCCTCTCCTGTCCTTGACGTCCTCTTGGCACCGATGTCACTCCCAGTGTTGTGGTTGGGTAAGTGGCATGGGAGGCAGGGTGGAAGGTACCCGAGGAAGCCAGGAATGGGCTGTGGGGGGTGCGAGTAGGGGCGGAAGATGGGCAAGGCCTGCGGTAAGGTAAAATGGTGAGGACCTAAAGACTTAGGGACTTGATAAATAATCAGTAATAGACAAGTTCCAGGCGTGCATTCTGCGACTGGCGTTGTGACCCACCATGCGTCCCGTTTCATCTACCCAACAGCCACCTCAGGAGTTATTA